TTCTTTTGACAACCCCATGTGCTTTCATAGCCTGATCACATGTGATAACGATGTTAACCAGAGACGTTTTCCTTGGTATGGAAGCATCTCCCTTCATCAAAAATATACTTATTAAGGTGCCATCTGCAACACTAAATATGCTGTAATTATGAACAATAACACATACCTGTGAAAAAACAAATCAAGTAGCCAGTCTGCTGGAAAATGTACATTCGAAATGTGTTTGCCACTTTAATAGAATTCCCCAAGAGCATTTACTAACTCATCGTTCTCATAGCTATAACCTTGCCCTCATTCCTGATGACTACAAATTTGTTTCCAGGAAAAACAGGATGAAACTGCAATTACACATGAGCAAATAGGTAACTGAAAGAGGTAGTGGGTGTGGATGCCAGCCTTACATACATGATAGGCAGGCATGAGTTTTAATCCCCTAGGAAAAAAAGTTACATGAACTGTTGTTATTGTTGTTGTTGTTGTTTTTAAGTAAAGAACGTCCACATTTCTAATGCTTATTAGCTAGCTTTTAGCTAGAAGGGCCACCAATCATTAAATTATTTTTATAGGCTGCTTAGCAGAAGCTGTGTTTCCATGACAACAGGCAATGTATGCAAAGGTTAAAAAAAAAAGTTAATGGGATTTGTGGTGATCTCAGTAATGCTCCATGGAAATCACTCATTAATTTGATTTTCCTATTTCTCAGGCTTCCATGCAAACTGCAGAACTGGATTTTCTGGCGCTGACTGACTCTGGAAATAATGCATTTCTGAGACCTCCACTGTGCCTTTTTCCCGAGAAGTTGAGAAAGAGTTTGATAATTCCTCCCTGATTTCTTGATGAGCTGAATAGAGGCAGGGACCTCTGTGAAAGACCCCGATAAGACCTCACACTGACTAAGGCAAGTGAAGGTTTTGGTCAGAGCAGCAGGCACAAGTTTATCTTTATTTTCTTCTGGAACCCACATTAGCATGTTTGTTGATAATGAAATGTTTTCTGAGAAAAAGAGAAATCAGCCTACTTTCCAAGTTTCTGAACTGAGTCACTGGATGGATGGTGGTGGAAAAGACTGAAGGATGAGCAGTGTAAGCAGAATGATAGGAATTGTATCACGTCATGACTGAACATTTTAGACCAGAATAATACAACTCAGTCAAAAGACTAGTTCATGCAGACATGGCAATAGTTTTGCTATCAAGAGAATATCAGGAATAGTGCCCAGAAGATGATTTTATTACCATTTGAAAGATTCACCTGTTGATGTTGAGGCCTTTTTTACTTGTCCTCAGTGTAGTTTTTATTATTTTTTAACAAAAATATAAGAGAACAAATTTACACCTTTATTTATTTCCTTTTCCTTAAGTTTAAATCCTTGAGGGGTACAGCATCTCATGAGTTCTGTGGCCAATGGCTTTAGCAGGAAGATTGCTTTGGAATTTGGCACGAACCATGTCACCGTTTCCATGAGCAGGAGTTACTTTCCCCCAGATGACTCTGGTTTTGTTCAGTTTGCCACCAGGTGTCGCTGTGTTGTTCTTGGCTTTGTACACAGAGGCACATCTCCTGCCTCAGTAGAATTCAGTTTCATCTGCAGCATAAACATCTTCAATTTTAAGAACTGTGTGCCAGAGACCCTGTATATGGCCAACAATAATGGCCTTGGACCACAGCCTTCCAAACATATTTGTCATTTTAGGAGTCCTGTTCCCAGCAGATATCCACAGGTTCCAAAATGGTGGCGAGAAAGACCAACCTAGTTTGAATTTTTATTAAAGTACTCCAGATGTAGGTGTTTTAAGGGTGTCTGCTCTTTTTTTAATCCTTATTTATTTTTGAGAGAGAGAACGAGTTGGAAAAGGGCAGAGAGAGAGAAAGAGAGAGAGAGAAAGAGAGAGAGAGAGAGAGAGAGAGAAAATTCCAAGCAGGCTCCGTGCTCTCATCATGGGACTCGAACTCATGAACCATGAGATCATGACCTGAACTGAAATCAAGAGTGGTCTGCTTAACTGGCTGAGCCACCCAGGTGCCCCCAGATGTAGATATGTTAGAATCAACAAATTATGTTGCTTTCTGAACAGAATTTAAAATCTATTTATTTCTGTATCTTGAATGATCTATACTTCCTAGTAGTATATTGATTTTGTGTTTGCTGTGTATAAGTTAGAGTCACATTTGTTTTGTATCAATGTGAGGCTACATTTGTCTTTAGTATGTCTTTTAGGATTATTATGAGCTTCTCTAATGCGTTCTTCCCCACCTTAAAAATTCTATTAAGGAGCCAAGAGTTTATAAAGCATATAAAAACAGATATTCACATGTACAAAAACCAGAATCCCAACTTTGACACAAACACGAAGACCACTAAACAGTATATATTAATGTAGACTTACAATGCTATTGTTTTCAGTGTGACCATGAATTCAATGGGAGAATTTTAAAATTATAACAGCATATATAATTTAAATATAATTTAAAATTATTATAACATAAGAACGGTTTCAGGAGTAGAATTTAGTGATCTATCACTTACATATAACACCCAATGCTCATCCCAGCAAGTGCCCTCCTTAATGCTCATTGCCTGTTTAACCCATCCCCCACCCAACACTCCTCCAGTAACCCTCAATTTGTTCTCTGTATTTAGGAGTTTCCTATGGTTTGCTTCTGTGCTAAGTTACAAAGATGTTACTTTGAGGTATAGATTTGGGAGGTAAGTAAAAGCATTTATCCTACCAACCCCGCCCCCCCAAACTTTAAAAGAATGCCTAAACAATATACTGCCAATATGGCTCCAACCCATGAATGACCTTTTTCATCATCTTATCCCACACCTGTTGAGATCTTAATCAGATTATGGTTAAGTCCCAGATACTTGCTCCAAAGTCTTCTGTGGAAATCACATCAATTCAGAATGAAGTAAAAACTCTTAAATTGTTTGGCTATGTTAATGATGCTTCCTGACCTATTTCTGTGTGGCTGCTTCTCCCAATGAAAATTTCACTAGTATCAGTGACAAGGAAAGACCCTTTGATTCAGTAAGGACTCACCCCTGTGTAACATCAGCTCTTTTCAAAATATTAAATAGGTACCAGCTCCACACAGAGCTGAGTAGAGTTACTAAGGTATAAGTTGTTCCTTCTCAGATCACTTATGTCCATGATCTTCATTATCATGGAGGCTTTGACACATTTTCTTTTCCTTGCTAGGGAATTCTATGTGCAGATGAGTGTTGGAAGCTGAAGGGCATCCACTGGCCATGATTGTCTATGGTGGGGACTCAGGGTCAGGGCAAAGTATGATTTGTTAGGAATTTGCACCAGGATTGATTTAGGAAATTTAGAAGAAAAAAGAAAAGAATCAAACACTTCAAGATTTAGGAACACTGTTGTTTCTCATTGGAACTGTTTACCTTCTAATAGAGGGTATTTAGAAAATGGGAACTAGAAGGAAATTTGAAAAGGATGGGTGTGCTAAATGTACAACTTTTAAAAATATAGTATCGCCATTGCAGGAACAATGATTATATTCAATCAAGAATCTGATAACTGACTTGTATGGGGATATGTCCAATAGAAATATTAACTTATTAAAGCTGAAAAAGATAGAATGTACTGTATCAATATTTGGATTAAAATAAGTCATCTAAACAAAAGCCAGGGGCTTCTAAGAGTTATGTATCTCTCTATAATATTTAACTTAGTAAAACCTAGAATAACCTTCCATTAGATACTTCTTCAGAGTCATGAAAATATTCCGAGGTGATGTGAGTAAAGGCAAGTCTTAGCGCTTGCTATGAGTTGAATTATGCCCCTCTTCCTCAAATGCATATGTGACCTTATTTGGAGATAGGCTCTTGACAGAGTTAATAAAATTAAGATGAGGTCATTATGGGGTCAAATTCAGTCTTTTACAAAAAGGGGAAATTTGGGGGTGCCTCAGTGGCTCAGTCAGTTAAATGTCTGACTAAGGCTCAGGTCGTGATCTCTTGGTTTGTGAGCATGAGTCCCACATTGAGCCCTGTGCAGACAGTAAGGAAAACTACTTGAGATTCTCTCTCCCTCTCTTTCTGCCTTTCTCCAACTCATGCTTTCTCTCTCTCTCTGCAAATAAATAAACTGTTTAAAAAAGGCAGGGGAGGGGAGGGAATTTGGACATAGAGATATCCACAGGTGATACAAAGAGACACAGGGAGAAGATGGTCATTTATATACTGAGGAGAGAGGACTGAAACAGATCCTTCCCCCCAGCCCTCAGAAGGAACCCACTCTGCCAACACCTTGATTTTGGACTTCTAGCCTCCAAAATGGTGAGAAAATAAATGTAGGTTGGTTGGGCTACCCAGGTTGTGGTACTTTGCTATAATGCCTTAGCAAGTGAATACAGTGCCCAACAATCCCATCAAGTACCAAAGCAATTGGTCCTGACTAGAGGCTCAGGCTTCATCCTTCTTTTCCTGATCAGGGTCACTGATGTCAGACTGGGAAGCCAGAAAGAAGATGAAATGTGAGACGGCAATATGTCAAATCAACTAATGAGCTGGTGGAAAAGAAACACAGAGCCACTGGAGTTTGATTACTCTCATGATTTATTAATATTCAGATTGAAAAAGGAGCCTTAGAGCCGCAAGTTACGCTAATTGGCACATTTGCTTTATTTATTTATTTATTTAATTTATTTATTTATTTTCAAAACAAACTGGGTTTTTGATTTTTTTCCTTTTTGTTCATTCCATCACATTAAAAGGAGGAAAAGAAAAATGGTTTTGAATTCACTCGATATTTTGGACTCCTCAGATGAACGGAACATTGCACACACACTTGGAACAGAGAGAGATAGAGAGGAAAGTGGACTCCCACAGGGCCACACGCACCAGATCAAAAAACTTGGATACAGTGCAAGAATTTCCCGAAATGATTGGATCATCATTACCAAAAACTCGCCATAACAACACCAAGAAACAAAAAATGTTTAAGCCACACTGTTTGACTTGGGATCTTTCCTGCTTTTTTTTTTTTTTAAATGTTTGCCACACAGAGAGAAAGAGGGCTATTGGGTAGGAGAGGACAGACTCACGGACGTGAGCAGGACAGGAAGGGGAACTTCAGAGTGGAGTTGAGAAGAGGGGTGGGGAGAGACAGGGGTCAGGAGAGGGGAGAGTGGGGACGTGGAAAGCCATTTCTTAAAGTTCAGGCATGTTCTTGGTCCGCCTCACGTTCTTCTCCTTTACCCTCATCCTGCCGGGCACTTTCCTTAGGTTTGGTTTCATCTACAGCTTCTGAGGAAGAAAACAAGGGTGGGGGGTGGGGGGAGAGGGAGAGAAAGGGGTTAGTATTTTGTCTCATCTGTTCATATGATAGTGCAATGCATTTCTCCTTTTCATACCGTTTCATAAAAGATTTAAGATAAAATGAGATTATTGTTATCTCAGTAATGTAACTTCCAAGTTCAGAAGAGTTTACTTCCAGGAGGTTTTTCAGTGACATGTATGGAAGAGTTCAGGAACAAAGCTACGATATTGGGGGAAGGAGCTACTAAACAGAAATTACCATGATTTTTAATCTCTCAGTCTCGCAATCGAGATATCCATACACAGGCTCTCAAATAAGGAATTGACAACAAGCTTGTATCTCTTTTCCATTCATGACAAACTGATTGTGACAGATACTTTCTGTGGATCATTGAACAACCATTCCAACTCTCTTACCTCTTCTTTGTGGTGTTATAAACACTGGAAAGTAAAATAATTGAATTTCCAGATCCTGTTGACGTTAGAGGTATCCACGTAACACAGTGATGGCAAATCAGATAGAGACAGAATTCCCTGGGGAGGACCCCAGAGGAGGTCTTTGCCCTTTACTTTCTGTTATCCCTGATAACTGAGACATCAAACAATACCCCAGGAGGATGGAAGCTATCTTGCGACCACAAAGGCAAAAACTCTATACTAAGGGTGGTGGAGCAGAAAGACAGGAAAAAAACTATCACTGAGTGACCAATCAGTCCCAGACACTTTTAGCGCAGACTTTCTCTTATTATGTGAGACAAATAACTAAACTTTACACTAAACCATTATAGTAATTTTTAGTTACCTGTAGTCAAGAACACTCCAACTGAATATACTTATCCATAAGGCAATGTGCTTTGTCTAACATGGAAGACTACGTCTTTTTAAAGGATAGTTTCTTCCTCAGGAAGTAGGCAAATTTTCTAACTCTTCTTCTGCCTGGTTTCCTGATAGAACTCAGTCAATTGCTTTCATGGGACAGATGGTTCACTAATATGCCAGCTACTGGAAAGAGAATTCCTTTGCCCTGAAATCACCCATACTGCTAACCTAAACTTCTTGTGTTGGGTGTCCCCTAGGCTACACCCAGGTTCAATAATTTGCTAGAAGGACTCATGAGACTCAGTATATAGTCCTATTCATAGCTATAATTTGCTACAGTGAAAGGATACAAAACAAAATCATCAAAGGGAAAAGTTGTATGGGGTGAAGTTTGGAGGAAGCCACTCACAACCTTCCAAGGGTCCTTTACCTATAGAGTCATGCAGAATGTGATTAATTCCTCCAGCAATAAACTGCAACACGTATGAGAGGTCAGCCACTAAGGAAGCTCATCTGAGCTCCCAAGTCCAGAGTTCTTACTGGGGGCTGGTCATGTAGGCACCCTCTACCTGGCATGTACCAAATCCAGACTCCCAGAAGGAAAACGGATGTCCAGCATAAACCACATTGTTTGCAACAAGTGTTTACGCACAGTAAAGACTCTTAGTTAGGAAATGGTGAGCCCCTTCTCAAAATCCAAGTTCCTAGATGCCAGCCAAGGATCAACTCTACAAGCATCTTTTCTAAGAAATGAGAGATGTTGAGACTAAAGAAATCCAGGCCTTTTAGGAGATCATTAGAAGAGTTCACATAAATATATGCTTCTTTCAAATTAGTCAGCTCTATATTTATATTCAGATGAAGTTCAACATCTACATCCAAATAAGACAACCGCTGAAAATATATTTTTGGAATTCTTTCTTTGGAACAACCATCTGATAATATTCTTTTAAATCTGTCAGTAGCAGAAAATGTTTATCTCCTTGAAAATAGATTTGAGTTTTAGAATCAAATGAGGCTGGACTGGTAAATAAGGTAGCAGCTATGATGGTTAATTTTAATATTACAATGGTTAATTTTTGAGCAAAATGTTTAAGTCTGATTTATTTTGAGGATTTGTAGCTATCAGTTATTTCCAAAACATAATTATTACTTATTATGTAGTAAGACTACATACTATTACTCATAAAGACATTTTAAGACTCTAGTCTTCTAAAGTGACTATTATTAACTCTTCAAGAATTGGGATACCAATCATATTTTTCAGGAAGAAGTTTTGTATAAAACTAACTCAATTCTGATCATTGGAGTACTCTGTGTACCAGCATTGTCCCTCATGGATTATACAGAACTCTGGTGCACTAATGAATCAGCTAATTTTCTTTCTTCTTATAAATTTTTTCTAACTTTATTTTTTTGAGAGACAGAATGTGAGCAGGGGAGGGGCAGAAAGAGAAGGAGTCACAAAATTGAAAGCAGGCTCCAGGCTCCGATCTGTCAGCACAGAGCCCGATGCAGGACTCAAATCCATGAATCGTGAGATCATGACCCGAGCTGAAGTCGGATGCTTCACCGACTTAGCAACCTAGCCGCCCCAGAATCAGCTAATTTTCTGCCAGAAGAAAGCTTTCAGATTTATTTAAGTGAGGTTTATTTTTTTATAGTAATCTGGAATTCTCTCAGAGAATTTACTTAGTTCCCTAGCCTTACTCAAACCTTTGGATACTACAGGTATCCCCAAGGTGGTTTACTATCCTTATCACTCAGGAAACGGGGAATTTAGTGCCTTTTTCAAACTGCAAAAGAAACAGAACATTGATTTAAATTGGCCTGAAGCATATAGAAGGTTCAGTTGTAGGTGCAAAACAAGACTTTCAGCCTCTCTTCCTAAAAATAAAAAAATTGGGAGCTATGTGGCAGATTTGAGGAGAGACTGGGGGGCTTATGAGAAAAGGTGGAAACAGAATGTCTGTTGATGGAAAAAGGGAAGAACATTCCAAAACGGAAAACAAAAGAACAAAGATTCAGGTAATTCTGAGAAGTAGCCACACTTTCTGTCTTCTGTCAGAGTGGAATCAAGTTAAATCCTCCCAAATTCCTGTACTTTCTCTTGTCACCCTTTGCCTGGGCCTGGGAAAAATGATGTAAATGGCACACATCTGTTTATTGTGGCAGGAAGTGGCGCTGTCCACTTCTTATTAAGAGAGCTTCAATATCTGCATATTTTTTCCTTTAAAGGCTTCAAAGTATTTGAAATATAATTATTTAGTCATTTATTTGTTCATTAAGTTGTTGCTGAACACCTGCAATGGGCCGAACATTTTTCTAGATATTAAGAAGAGGTGAAAAAAACGCAAATATTCTTGCTCTCATTTAAGCCTTTCACGGACAATGAAATCCATAATCATCGAATATCAGCAGAGAGGGGCCTCAACGACCATCCAGTCACTAGACACAACTCTTCAAGGGTTAACAACATTATTTTTTTTTTTAATTATTTTTGCTCAACTCTGAACCCCCTGTGTCTGGCATAGAACCTAGTGCAGGGAAGGCCCTCAATAAACATTTGTTGAATGAAAGAATGGGGGGACATCTTCACTTTATAGATGAAGAAATGAAAGTCCAGACATTTCCCTAAATCATCCGGTTTTCTCATGACCCAGCCAGGACTAGAACATAGAACTTGCCTGGTCTCAGTTTTCCTATTACAGCAGGTGGTCAAACTTGACCAGAGGAGGTCAAGATCAAATCAGTTTTATTCCACACTAGAAACAAGTAGCTAGCATTCACAGGCTTTTAGTGACTTAAAAACCTTCTCAGATTAAAAACAAATTGTTGGCTCCAACATTTAAAATAAAAACCATAAAATTAAAGCTCATGAAGTTCAATTAGTTGGCTACAAAAGGGAACATGTCAGTCAACTAGCTGGAACTCAACCCAACTGAATACATACAATTATCTATACATTATATTTCACATGAGATGAGAGTATTTTTTTTTTTACAAATAGTTTATTGTCAGGTTGGTTTCCATATAACACCCAGTGCTCATCCCCACAAGTGCCCAAGATGAGAGTATTTTTAAAATTTTATTTACTCAATATTACTGAATAATGAACAAAGGGGTCATCTCTACGTGTTAGACGTAGGGATGACTAACTGGTAGAAATAATATGGGTTAAGTCAGTGGATTCCGTGACATTTTTATAGGCCACCAGGAAATTATGGGTAGGAAAAAATATGGAGGAAGGAAACAATGTAAAGTAAGAATCTTCCACAACCACAAAATAAGAACAAGAACTCATAATGCTATCTATTTTTAAAGCATACACAAAAACAGAAACAAGCAAACAAAAATAAACCCTCGTTCAAGTGAAGGAAACAGTGATCAGATGTGAAGCACATGCCTGCTCTAGCCAGATCCACGTTGGAAGGGAGAGTGTGTATGAGTTTGTGAAAAGTTTTAACCTTAGACAAAGGGGAAGTTTTTGGAAACAGAATCCAAGTTAGTAGAAATGAGTCCATTTGAGCGTGAATGCCAGAGAGAACTTCTGAATATTGCTAACTTGTTTCTTCTCTTTCCGATGTCAATTCTAGACAAGTCACTGTAGTTAATAAGCGATGTTGACCATATACTTGTATATCTACAATTTCTTCCCCATTCTACTCAGCAGCCTCACTGCCTGGAGAGAATCACAAATGACAACTTTCCTGACCCTTTGTATAAAGTGTTTAGCTATAGCTAACATAGTTGAGCCCTTACTACATGCTCACAACAGCTCTACATGTACTTGGTTCTTTTCATTTAATCCCTATGGCTCTTCAATCAGTCCGTTTTACAGTTGGGGAAGCTGAGGTACAGTGAGATGAAGTTAACTTATCTAGGCTGTACTGTTAGTAAACGGCAGCAGTGAATTTCAACCTAGGACAGAGATATCTAGGCAGCTTCTATTTTAGACTGCTCTTCCTGCCCTTATCTTTGCCCAAGAACAATGGGTGGGCTCAGAGTGGGAACCAGAGCAGGGGGTCCACAGGTACCTAGGCGTGCAGCCTTCACAGTCCAAAAACTGGTCTTAATACAAGCAGCTAAGAATGGTGGGAAGAATCTTGATTAGTCTTGAACAATATGAAATCTGGTCTTGGCACTCTCTGGCACTAATTACATAATTA